CCTCCTCATCCCGGGCTTCACAATGTCATTTACTGACATGGGTATGTTTCTTCCATCCATTGTTGGCACATTGATTGAGCAGCCACACAGGGCCTCCCGTAAGCTAATTTTAGCAGTATAAATTATATTTGATCCATCTCTTTTGAATTTTGGGTGATCTTTGTCTTTAATAATGAAAACAATGTCTGCAGGGATATTATTCGGTGTTTCATCTCCCTCCCTTGGAAAAGTAATTTTGGTGCCTTCTTTCCACCCCTTTTTAATCTCAATGGTGAGAATTTTGTCCTCAGATCTGTAACTCCTTCCATCAGGGTTTAATCTTTTTCGAGAAATTTTCATCCGTTTTGTGCAACCACTGTATATCTCTTCTAGAGAGACTCGAAGTTCATGAATCACTGGAGGGTCTTGTTTAAGACGGGAAGGCCCCACAGAATTCCTGTCTCTCGGATATCCGTTCATGCTGAATCCAAATGCACTGAAAGGATCGCCATCTATTTCCATCTCTTCAGAATCTCTGCCACCTCCCATCCGTCTTCCAAAGAAAATTTCAAAGGGGTTAGAGCCTCCAAAAAATGCTGCAAAGGTGGCATGAGGATCACCATGAAAAGTGTACCGGAAGGTACCTCCTTGTCCATCGGTACCTCCTGCTCCTCCTTTCAATCCTAAGGGAAGAAATAAGCATGATTAGAAAAAAGCTTGCAACTGACTGACAGTGAAGACTTACAAAACTACACTGTAGAGCCAGGTGTGGTAGCACATGCCTGTAATCCTAGTACTTGAGAAGCTGAGGCAGGAGGACTGCTTTGAGTTCAAGGCCAGTCTCAGTAAGTTCTAGGCTGACCTGGACTACATAGTGAGACCCTGTCTCAAAAATCAAAACAAGCCAGGGAGATAGCTCAGCAGTATAAGTGCCTGCCTAGCAAGCACAAGGTCCTGAGTTTGATGCCCAGTACAAAAAACAAAAAACAAGAAACAAAAAAACCTTACTGCTAATAAACTTTGGCCTATTTAGGCTGAAATTAATGACCAGAAATGTCATAACTAAACACAGAACAGCTGTGACTCATTGCTCTGTGCACCTTCACACACCACTTTTCTTGGGTAGGGGGGCACAGGTGGTGCTGTGTGTGCACCAGGACCTGAAGTTCGGACCTCCCTGTTTTCCATTCTTGAGCACATCCTACAATCTCTGCCTAATAAGCCCTTCCTAGGCATATAAATAAAACACAAACAGAACAGCTATGTAACTTCTGACAAGTCCATCAAGTTAAATGTTTAGTTTTCAAATTCTTACTCTAAATCTTAAGTTTTATTAATTTATTTCTGGGCTGAAGATCAGCTCAGTGGTTGACTGCTTGCTTAGTACATGCCTGAGTTTGATCCCCAGCAAAGAGCAACACACATACACACACACAATAATAATAGTTATTATTTATTCTCAAATCCTTGTTTCTTTTTTTTTTTTCCTTTGTTTCACAGTAAAGAAAAAAATAAAATAAAACCAAGGATCTCTTATCTCACAAACTGCTGGTCCGGCATTACTAAAAGCACATAAATTTAAATTTTTACAATATGCTAGCTAAAGTTGGGCATAGTGGCACTGGCCTGTAATCCCAGGAGTTTGAAACCAGCATGGGCTACAGAGTATATACACAGTCTTAACTACATATATATAGCAAGATCCTACCTCAAAAAACAAAATTAACAAAGGATGCCGGATGAGAAAAACAACATCAGTGAGGTGAGAAGCCTTCAGTAATCAACACAAAAGGCAGACTCTAAATCTTTAAGTACCATTACAATCAGTAAGTCTTAAAGTACTGATAAATCTCTAAGTACCATTATAATAAACACAACCAATATTACGTAATACATATTCATACTAAATAGTTTTATTTCGCGCCATCTTTTACTATTCAAGAATTAAAAAGCAACTGGGCAGGAGGGCTGGAACCTAGAGGCGAGCCTGGGCAACTTAGTGAGCCCCTGTATGAGAACAAAAATAGACAGTGGGCTGGGAGACAGTTTAGCGGCAGAGCACTTGCCCTGCATGTGAGGCTCAGGGTTTAAGCCCCAATACTGGAAAAATACTAAAATCACTTTCCATGGCAGAAAGTGATCATAATAAGGACACACTATGAAAAATGCTTTCTAGACACTACCATTGTTACTTCCATTCAAGATACCAAGACTTTATCTAGGTAACCACATGATAGCATTAATTCCAAGCATATAAAAGCAAGACCGAAACCAAGAGCTGTAAATCCTTTTGCTATGTAGCCTTTGGAAAGATTACTTCTGTCTACTGTGGACAGTCCACTTTGGACAGAGGTAGAGTGGCCTTTTTGCTCAAAGGCTCAACTAAGTAATATATAATTCATAAAGATTATATACACATATTAATATATATATACAGATATGTACATATATTTAAAATACCATTTTCCATTACACACTGAAGAAAGATTCTACTAAAACCCACACCAGAACAGCAGGGTGACCTCTGAGGGGATCAGCCCCAATGGGAAGGAAGGCCACCCTTGCACTCGGCAAGGTTTCCGAGGGAGCTGGTGGGAACCCTAACCAAGGCAATGAGGAGGACAACAAACATTTGGAAACTGACAAGGTAAATTTAAGCTGGGCAGCTCTTTTATGCCAATGTACATTCTTTTAAGCAGGGAACAACTTGAGGGCAGGAAGTATGTTTTATTTCCTCCAATGCTCGTGCATACAGACTGCAACTGGTATCTAAAATTTTACCTTTCTCCATGAATAAAAATCTGAAGAGAACAAGAGAAACCTAAGTCAGAAAATCATAAAAAGATGTATTGAATGATGTATCCAAACACAGTTAGAAAAATCCTTTGTAGAACCTGAACACCAAGTATAAGATGACAACTTTTAACATGCAGCTCATACAAATCTCTCTTTTATAATGTTAGTAGGACAAGTATAGCTCCAAATGTTAAAAACCTAATCACAGACGTTTTTTAATGATAGACTACATATACAACTCAAGGCCATGCTTATATGATTTTAATCATTTTATTCTTTATCCCACAGATGTCAGTGTAGAATAATTTATCCAAGTTAAGTGAATTAGAAGAAAAGAAAAAGGATAGAAGAACAGAAAAGGAAAAGGAGTTTGGGGTATAGCCTAGTAGGCTGGTGCACACGAGACCCACATTCATCCCCCAGCACCACAAAAAGGAATTAAAGAGGGAGATTAAAAAACTGAGTAAATTAGCTTGCACAATCTAATTCTCTACAAGATAAAAAAATGCTTTGGACTCATAATGCCTTCATAAAAAGAAAGAACATTTTAAGTTATTACATCACAAGTTTGGTTTTTCCCTAAAACTTCTTCCCTCTGCCAAAAATGGTAGCACATTCAGGATTACAGACTCTGTGATAAGATTCAAACAGTCTGAAGTGACTTTGTATTTATCAAAGCTTACAAAAAGCTGCCAATGCAACTTTGGGGTTTTCCTAGATACTGAACGCAAAATGTGCTTTAAGAATAGAGCTACTCTGACTGAAGAAATGCTATCAAAATTCACACCATTATTATATTGTGAATACCCAAAAATCCCTTGCACCACTTAACACTTGATTTGAAATGTGTGTCTCATCAACTGTAGCTCTTCATCATGGACTGCTGTATTTTAAAACTGATCAACCAACCAAACAACTTGCAAATATGTGTTTAGAATTCTATCTGTAACAATGACTTTCATTCTTACTAACAGGACTAAAAGTTCAAAGAAGAAACGCTGGTGAATTAGGTCTTCAAAGAATGGAGTACTTTAATAACTTAATATCAGATCTAGTGTGTACAAAGTCCAGACTATAGCAAGACTTCAAGTGCAGAATAATTAACCCATAGGTTTTAGCCACAAAATCCAAATGACTTACGTATTTTTACAACACATACTAAAGAGATCCAGTTGAATAAATATGTAAGTTAAAGAACAGAAATGTCAAACTAGCATAATGACTAATACACTAAATACAACTAGTGTATTAGTATGACCAATACACTATTATATTTAAATAAGTCATAATCTGTTTTTAAAGAAAATACTGAGTAATCTATAAACAATAAATGATACAAAGGCATAAAGAAAAAGAAATGTTACAGAATTAGAATAAGGATGTATCATTTTTTGCTTTCCTTAATCATGTAATACAAACTTCACATCTACTGAAACATCGAAAACTAAATCTAAAACTTTAGGGGGGGAAAGTGGACCAAAATCCAGTTTTAAATTTCTGTACGTGTGTGTGTGTGTGTGTGTGTGTGTGTGTGTGTTTTGCTTTGGGTTTTTTTTTTAATTTAAAAAGATTCAACTACTGGGAAAATTTTTCTTCTCTTTTTCTTTTTTTTTCAGAACTGGGGAATGAACTCAGGCCCTTGCGCTTGCCAGTGAAGCGTTTATTCTACTGAGCCATCTCCCGGGCCCCTTTTCTTCTTTTTCTTGTTTGGTTCGAGACAGGGTCTCATTAAGTAGCCCAGGCTGGCCTTGAACTTGCAGTTTCCTGCCTCAGTCTCTTTAGTGCTGGGATTTAAAGGTGTGCAACACCACACCTGGCAAAGTTTTTTTTGTTTTTGTTTTTTAAAGGCTTACTACATATCAGAAAATTAACCTGTAAATATATAGTGCAAGTGCAGAAAAATTATAGTTATGCAACCAACACAATGAATTTATGGAACACTTCTATCACTCCAAAAAGTTCTCCAATCTTACTTGTAGAGAACGCCTATTCCTACTTCCAGTACTAAGCAAGTAGAATTTGCTTTCTTTCTCCATAAATCTGCATTCGCACTCCTTTCATGTCCACGGAATCATATAAAGTGAAGTCATCTGTACTTGTCTTCCCTCGTTCAGCCTACTTTTTGAGCTCCATCTGTGTTGCGGCATGTCTCACTGAATCAGTCCTTTTAATTGCTAGACGGCACCTACTGCTGTGAGTGAATTTTACTCACTGAGGGTACTTGGGATTTTTTTTTTTTTTTTTTTTGTGGTTTGTTTTGGTTGGGACTGTTTTCAACTTGGGGCTATTACAAATAATGCTGCTACTAACATTCAGGCACACGTCTTTACATGGGCGTTATGTTGTTATTCCTACAATTGGAACTGCTGGGTCAGAGAGTTTATAACTACCTATGTATCTATTAGCACTAGAGCTTGAACTTAAGAGTCTTCTCATTTTATTTTTTATGCTGAGACAGGTTCTTGCTAAGCCGCTGAGTGTCCCAGGTGGGACTCAAATTGTGATCCTCTTGCCTCAGCCTTCCAGCGTGGTAGGATCACAGGTGTGCACCACCAGGCCCGGTTTAACATCTTTACTGTTGTACAACTTTTATCAATTTTTTTTTAAATGTATTTAGTACAGGATCTATAGGGTCTCACTACACAGACTGGACTCATAGTGGCCATCCTGTTTGTAGCCTCCCAAGCACGCACCACCACGCCTAGTCTCAATTGCCATCTCAGCTTGCCCAGAGGTGGGGCTGGCACAGCACGCTGGGAATCGAACCTCCAGCCTCCGCGTCTGCCTAAGCAGACACTTTAATCTGCTGAGCTAGCTGGCTGGCCTGTCCAACTTTTAAATAAACAAAATATCTTGAACTGCAGATGGTAGCAATTTTCAGAACATGAATAACTGCATCAGTGGTTCTCTTAATTCCTAAATACATAAATTGAGCACCAGCTCATACATGTCTCAGTTTATAATTCCTTATTTCCACTGTCCCAGCTCCAAGACTGTAATAACTGAAAAGAAAAAGTATGACAAGTAAATTTAATTAAGTATCCTCACAGTCCTAAACTTCAGTGTATGCTACCATTGGAAAAACCTATGAAGCCAGTCCTGGAAAGGTACAGCATCGAGAAGCAAAGGTTTGTAAAAGGGTTCTCTCACTCTGACCATGCTCTGAGGGATTTTTTTTTTTTCTCTTTTCTTTTCTCCTTTGGGAGAAACTGAGAATTGAACTCAGAACCTTGTGCATGCTAGACAAGTGCTCCCCTCGAGCAATGACTCCTGCTTCTAAAAGGAGCTTTACTGAGCTGGGCAATGTGGGACTACCTGTAATGCCAGCAATTTAGGAGGCTGAGGCAGGAGGATCTCAAGCTTGAGTGCTGCCTAGGCAATTTATCCAGACCCTATCTGAAAATAAAAAGTAAAAAGGGCTTGAATGTGGCAAAGTACCCCAGGATTTCTTCCCCAGTACCACAAACAATAATGACAGAGGGGTAGGGACATAAAAGGATTTAAGATGCGTGATATACCTGTACCAACTCCCCATCGTGAATGAATCATTATGTAATGCAAAAATGGACTAATACAATTCTTAAAATTTAAAAATAATAACATTGGGCTGGTGACATGGCTCAGTGGTCTAAAGCACCTACTTAGAACAAGCTTAGCAAAGCACAGGGACCGCGGTTCGATCCCCCAGCACCACATGCCAGCCAGTCCCGCCCCCTGGTGGGCTGAGCTGGCCACACACACACATACACACACACACTAAATAAAAAATAAATAAATAAAAATAAAAATAGTAACATTAAGACCAAGAAAAATGTATCATTTGGTGACTTGAAAACTCTAAAGATGAATATCCTTAATAAACCTGAATCCTCTAACTTATCACAGATAAACTTATAAGCTTTCTTATAAGGATTTACAGGGCAATTCTATGGATTTCTTTACAAAATCACACACTCAAAAACCACCTCATTAAGAAACAGTAGTAGCAGTATCTGAAAATCGCTTGGTTTTAGAGATGAACCAAATCATGGCATCCTGAGCAGTATGGCCCCAGGGAACACGCACACCGAAACCACCAACTATGTGCTTTGTCAATATTTACTCTGTGAGAACCAGACACTGCAGATTTCCCCACACCCCTATCAGCAGCATAATTCTCAATGTTTGGCAATAAAGCAAATGGCTAACAAGAAAGTTTCCATATTTATTGTGACTGAATATATTTTGAGAGAAAAATTAATAACCAAATACTTTACATCTGATTTTAAAAGGTGAAATCCCACAACGTATAGGAGTTAAAGGGCTTGGCTATGCTCTGGTTAATTAGCAACTTGAATCATCTCACATTCCAGCTGCACTTATATGGAGATGATGGACAACTCTTACTTAAAACCCAGGATGATCAAAAAAGAGAATCTTAAATTACCCCCTTTCCTGTGTTCACTAATTTCTGACTGTACAATGCAAGGAAAAGAAGTGTGGCCGGGAGACAGAAGGGAAATTGTCCTGCTTTCCTCCACACCTCGATAGTAAATTTTTAAAAGAAATACTTACTTAAAAGAAAATCAGTAATTGTTCTAACAAGGTGGCCATTTTAGGTCAAAAACTGTATTTCTGAGATCTCGTTTTCTTGGCACACAATTATTGTTTACAATTAAGCTAAAAACTTGTTCTGGTATTTTATGACATCAGGAAAATTCTTTCCTCTCTAGGCAGAATGCCAAAACCAACTAGAAGCTGAATGCCTGCGCCTTCTGCTTCTAAGACAGACGACTCTGACTGTTCGGTCTAAACCAGCCTTGCTCTGACAGAGAAAGGCAAAAAGTTCTTTTTGCTTTGGCAATAAAATATGAACTACCCAGAATTTGAACTGCCTATCTTAAGATTTTAAATGACTGAAGGCTTTCTATTCTGGCAGAAAGTTCTTTAGAAAACAGGTTGCATAAGGCATTTGACACAATTCACTAATGGGTATGGGAATTCAAGGTTTCTTTAAAAATATACAATGTTAGCGAAACAAGCCTGATGGTAGAGTATGTATGATACAAAATGCTAACCCCCCTCAAAAGGCAAACAAGATCTTTCATTCACAGCTAAGCAATTCTCATTCATCTGATCAGGGATGAAATTTTGTTTTCATCTATTATCTGTTTATTTATGACATCTCTGGGAATCTAATGATAACCAGAAGACTGTGAAAGAAAGCTGAAAAAAAGTAAATAAATAAAGGCAGTGTGGAAGAGTCAGCAAGACAGGCACAGAATACTTACCTTCTTCCCCAAACTGATCATATATTTCTCTCTTTTTAGGATCACTCAATACTTCATAAGCTTCTGCGACCTCTTTAAATTTTTCCTCTGCCTGAGGAGATTTGTTCTTGTCCGGATGGAATTTGAGGGCTTGTTTTCGGTAAGCCTTTTTAATATCTTCATCTGAGGCTCCTTTTTCAATTCCCAAAATGCCATAATAGTCTTTCCCCATCTCGAATGCCTTGAAACGAACTTAGCTCTCCCTTTGTAAAAGAAAACAGCGGCCCTAGTCTTAGCAATCAACGCTTCTAAAGAGGAGAAAGCAAGCTGGGTATCTTAAAAGTTAAAGCAAGCCGGCAATTCGGCTGCCGCTGTCTCAGGGCAGCAGGCACACAGGAGCTCCCTATTTACTGTAATTCCTTCCGCAGCAGAGCTCACTCCGAGATAAATACACGCTCCGCGGGCCGGCCTCCCGGCCCTCCCCTTCCACTACGCGGCTCCGCACTTTCTAGAACAGCAAATGCTCAGGACGTCACTTTCCCAGCGGCCTCTAGTCAAAGTACGGAGCTGTGTTTTCCCCTCCTCCGCGATTAACTATTCGTTTTCCTCCTGGCTCTACCGCTTTTATAGCCTACTAAGAGGCCAAATGGATTTAACAAACCTGTTTATTTCAAAATAGAATGTTCAGAAAATACCCAGAATATCTTAACTGCATAATTTTTTTACTCCATTCTGGTTGGAAAAGCAACAAAAATAATTATGCAGCTTATGTTAAAATGAGTTACTAAATTATTATATAAGAGAAAGTGCCTTTAACTTATTTTAAATTTCAAATTTTTCAACTGTAAACACTAAACTATACATTAATTTTCAAATGTGTCATTTTCAAAATTCCTGGAGTCTGTTTACTAGACATTCAAGGAAGTCAATATACCAATTTCACACAGGTTATCATAAAATTTAAAACTAGCATTTTAAAATAAATTTAAGTATTATTTTAAATAGTTTTGGTGTAGTATACAAGATAAAATGGCTTTAGGAAACAATATTTGTAAGAACTTAACACCTGAGTATAGTGACTTCAAGCCAAATAGTGAGCCCTTGCCCTGAGAGGGCCCGCGGCTAGGGGCGCTCCTTCAAGGGGTTCTGCACTGTGGAAAATTAGGAGAGCATCAGGAGCAGGTAATCCCGATCAACTGAAAATCTGCATATGCCGTTTAAAAATGTCGTTTTAAAAATATATTTCCTCCCTTTTCAGAGGGAGAGATTTTGACAAATACACAAAAAAGTCTCCTTATGAGAGCATGTAAGTAATCTGGGTTAAATGTCAGTGTATTTCCTTCTAATCCTTTTTTCTAGAAACACTTATGATTATTTGCTGTAGTTTTGTATTTTTTATTAACAAAGTTTATTTTATTTCTGAGACAAGCTCTCACCCCGTAGTTCAGGCAGGCCTTGAACTCACTGTATGGTCTAGGCTTGGTCTCCTGGCCATGCCCTGCCTCAGCCTCCGGTGCTGGGATTACAGCCTTGTTGTCCTGCCACAACCCAGCGTTCATTAACAAGTTTTAATCACAACATGTACATTTATATACCTATTGATGCCTGCTTTTTCCTAAAATACTTTGAATATTTATGAGACATTTTTGATGTAACTCATCTCTCATCTGCTCTGTGGCTTTCTCATCTTTTCAAAACTGGTCCCATTTCTGGATTTTTTTTTACTTTTGTGCTGAGGATAAAATCAGGGCCTCATAATCCTTGGCAGGCGCACTAAACCCCAATCCTAACAGTACTGGAAAGGCAGATTTATAAAACAAATCAAAAGAATTCTATTGGTCTATAATGTATTTAAATACCTTAAGGGTCTAAACTTGAAAACAATTTTTAAGAGAAGAAAAAGGTCACATATGCTAAGAGTACAGAGAAAAGATGATGACTGTGTTACCTTTAAGACACCAGTGATGACTCAGCATTTTCTCCTGACTGGTTCATCTTTACATATTTTGTGATTTTTTTTAGTTCTCAAAACTCTAACACCTTAGTATTAGAAAATTCTAACATTTATCCTATTTTAGGTTAAAGGCTTTTTAGTCTGAGCTTTTTTAGTCTGAGATAGGAAATTCAGTGTCAAAAGATACTTTTTCCAAGTAATCCAAAAAAATTGAAGAAAAATATTAATACTGACTATAAGACTTCTACTTCTAACAGTTGGAATTCAGTCCAAGGATCAGTATTTGAAGTAAAGACAGTAAAAAAAAAAAAAAAAAAAAAAAAAATCATCTAATATACAGCTAATTTTCAAGGCAGTTCTTTAAATATTCAATATCAAAGGATTACTGACAACAGTATGTATGAAAAAGCTGAAATTCTTCTGGTTGGTAATGCTGGGAGGGGAAAATACTCACCTGATTCAAACATTATCAGAGCACTAGAAATACTAGCAGGACATGACATCAAATTATTTTAGAACTCAAAGACTAGCTCATTCCCATCTGTGAGAAAAGCTTTATGATATAATATATTCCAATGGAAAGAAATCTGGCTCACTAGACATAAAAGTAAAAAAATATTTTCACATTTGTTAAAATGTCGGACACACAGAATCTTAGTAAAGTTGAAAAGCAAGGATGCATGTCAACTTGGTCATTTCAAGTCAATAGGCAGAAATAATCTTGACAAGACTATTAAATATTAAAAGTCTGGATAGGTTCTGCTAAAAATGAATGGATACTTACGCACTTACAGCTTTGTAAACAATTCCTTCAAACTGTGACAAGTTATTAAAAGCCATTAAATATGATTTTAGAGGTTCTAGACACATCACAACTGGAAATATATCCTAAAAAAATAGTTTAAAGACAAAAATGATTACATACAAATGAAATAATTCAGACAAAAATTATTAAATATACAAATACACTAATGGAAAAGATAGAACAGGGTAATGGATCAATATGATTATTAAATGGCATAGTGAAGGGCCAAGGATGTAGCTCAGTTACACAAGTGCCCACCCAGCAAGTGCAAGGTCCTGAGTTCAATTTCCAGTGCCAAAAAATAGGGAACCAAATAGTACAGTAGAGACCTTTACTCTTGCATTCACTGTTTCAGACTGAACAATCTTTATAAGGAAATGCATTACACAATCACCTTATATTAAATTTTGGTCATCCAAGTTAGTATGTGAATGAGGGGATTTTTTGTAGGGAGGAATTCTCATCGCTGCAAATAATCATGACATAAATAGAGAGAACCTTAGTGGCAGTCTGTAGGGAAAATGGGAAATAGAAGAGTTGTGATCAAATAGTGTTTTTTTAAAGGCTTTAAAAAAAAACTACAGGGGCTGGAGAGATGGCTCAGTGGTCTAAAGCACCTACTTGAAACAAGCTTGGCAAAGCACAGGGACCGCGGTTCGATCCCCAGCACCACATGCCAGCCAGACCCGCCCCCTGGTGGGCTGAGCTGGCCACACACACACACAATAAATAAATGTAATAAATAAAAATAAATAAATATTAAAAAAAAAAAAAACTACATAGTAAGTTTACTTGAATACTGTGTAACGGGGCCGGGGAGATGGCTCAGTAGAATAAGCGCTTCCCTGGCAAGCGCAAGGGTCTGAGTTCAATCCCTGGTTCTGCCAAAAAATAAAGCAATACTGTGTAGGTATCAGAAACAGTAAATCTCTTCCTTTCATCCATGTAGTCATTCATTCAAGTCTAGACAGGGGCTACAGCAGCTGTGTTGCTACAGCGGCTGTGTTGGCCAGGCCTGGCACAAGTGACCCTTCCACCTCAGCCTCCTCAGCAGCTGGGACTTTACAGGTGGATGTTACTACACCAAGTATAAGACCCTACTTACATGACATTACAGGTGTGTTTATGTACAGTGGAAGCCTGAAGAAAACAAAAAACACATAAGGTTAGTAATGGACATATTTCCTTAAATTAAAATGAAAGGCTAAAGTTTTCACAAGATATGAAATTAGTTTGCTTTTTAAAATTTTTATGTTACTAAGCCGTTATGAGATATGATGAAAACACAACTTAGTCTTTATTAAAAGAAAATTACAAAAGCTCTTTTCTCCCCTATTTATAATTTACAAGGTCAAGTTCTCATCTGAGGTGAGGGTATTAATCATTAGCTGATATCAAATTGCAATATTTTTAAAAAAATGATTGTTTTCAATCACATCAGAAAACTCACATGTATATTATTTTATCAGAGTTAGTAGCAACAAAGTTTTGTGCATAATAAATTAGGGAGAAATTTATCACTCTACTGAGATATATGCCAAAATTATATAAAAATTCTAATGACATTTATATTGTCTTCAACACTTGAATCAAACATGGCTATTTAGAATCCTTTTTTATAGTCATAGTTTAAACAGGAAACTATGTTTAGATGATGAGAATTAATATAAATACTTTTTCTTTGTTTTTTGGTTTTTGTACCAGGGATCAAACTCATGACCTTGCACTTGCCAGGCAGGCACTTAAGCTGCTGAACTAGCTCCCTGGTCCAATAATGAGAATTAATGATAGTACTTAAGTCATAAAAACCTAAAAGTATAGTCATTCAACTTTTGCCATCTTCATCTTCTACATGAGGCTTATAATAAAAAATAAGTTTTCTAATTCACAAATCACTCCTCAGTTTAATATACAGAAGCAGTGAGAATAGATGCCTTCTAGAGTGTCAGAAGAAACTACTAAAATTCAGGTCACTTAAATACTTGAGAACAAACAACTTCTAATATTGAACTAATACAGCTGTTGAAAACTTTTTCAGCTGATACTTCATTCTTAAATAGATCATATTTAGTCATGAAATATCTAATATTAGAAAATTCTGACTTCCATTCTCAATAATTCCTATCCAAAAACATACAAATAAGCTGAAGGTGTTTTGTATCCTGCTAATAATGCTTTAGATATCTGAACATGTAACCTCAAACACAAGTATGCCCAGTGGTGATAAAAATTCCCCAGTGTGACACCAGGGAATATGGATAGTGCAGTGTTTAACAGCACAGATTTTGGAGCCAGATTCTGGTTAAAATTCCGGTAGCATCACTTACTAGTTGTGTGACTTGGGACTTAACATCTCTATGGCCCAGTTTCCTCACCTGTCAAATGGGGTGAAAATGAATACCAACTTTGTAGTGACTGAGGGGATCAAATGAGAAACGTATGATACATTCAAGTGTGACAGGCACTTCAGGCAGTGTTGGCTACTTTCATGACAGTGATCTTATCATAATGAAATAAATTTTCTTCTACAAAATATCATTATATAACAAAAAGGTCCTTATAGTTATACACATATAACTATGCACACAAAGCTGCCCAACCAAGCACCTCTGTCCAACTAAGCAGCTCTAAATATGCCCGTTAATAGCTGCTACATTAATCTTAAGTCTATTAAAAAGTTAAAATCATTAATACTTCACATGGGTGGCATTCAATGGACTTCGAGTTGATCTTGAACTTTCTA